GGGGACTTTCGTTTAACGAGGCATTATCTAGGAAAGTATAAAATGCAATTTTCTGAAAACGTTATATGCTTTTCCCTCTGTAGTTGTCACCGTGTATACCCTACAAGCCTGTTCAATGAGTTTCTCATGAGTATTTAGTAAGAAAATAAATTTCAGGCTCATATAGTCATTAACTTGCCATAATTTGTTAAATGTGGCGGTGCCTGCTAGTTTAGGTTGGTTTTTGAAAGGACCAGAAATTCATTAAAGATAGGTTCTGGTAAAGGCTGTGAGTCACAATAGTGAATGTGGATATTGGTTTTCCGGCTCTTCCTTTGTACCCACCCGGTGATGAGACCTAGTTCTGTCTCCTGTCCCAACAGTTACTGTAAACTCACAGATTTAAAAGAAATACAAGCTCTGGGTTGTGGCAAACCTACATTAAAAATCAATGGATCATGCCCATGTGTACGATTTCAAGTATGACCATTTTTAAAGAGATCACATACACTCACAGATCGTAGCAGCTAACAAACACACTATGTGACAATATTTAACTTTCTAATTTTCTAATTCTAAACCAAACTATTTCTCACTCATCAATTAAGCCAAAATCTCACTCGAAGCTGCCTCCCTTCCCTGCCCCCAAAGCTGCCTTTCCTATAAAATCCAAAATGAAAAGGTCTCCAATTAAGAAAACATTCTCTGTTGTGCTGCATTCATGTTACCGTGCTGTGAGCTCTGACATTTTGTTTCTGTGGTAACCAAAATCAGCTGATTAGTTGGCATGGCAACAGAAAAGATGTAATCCCGGCAGACACACTCTAATCAATGCCCCCAGCACAGATGGTCTCTGGAGGATCAACAAGAAAGAGGCCGTCAGGCATTCAGGAGATCACGTGGCAACTCCAGACTAGGCCAGGGGGAAAAAAGAAAGAAAACTAAAAAAGAACATTTCTCAAACTAACCAGTAGCTTTTTAACCCCTTCTTTGTCTTGCTTAATTGTCAAAGATTCTGCAACTTCCACCACCAGGAAGGAGAACAGCATCACTGTAGCTTTATTATTTTTATTATTATTATTGCACAAAATGTAAATTTTACAAAGTAATAAATTCTTCCCTGACCTTCAGTTTTTATTGCTTAGAGTTTCTTATATCTGCCCCAAATCCTTATTTGATAGATGGTTTGTGTAAATTCATAAAAGTAACGTGCTCCTTTACTTTTTATAAGGTAAAGGAACATAAATTGATCACTGGTGTTATGTCCAGGACTGAGAAACATGACTGTTGATTCAAATGCGCAGAAGGGGAAAGTATATTTCAGCTAAGCACACGGGCTGTTATTACAGTTTTAACAATGCTGATCTTTTATGTATTTACGTGGTGCTATAAGGAAGCACAAGCATTAGTAGCCTTAAATAAAAACCATTTCTACCATGCCATCAAAGTCAGATAGGGCTGGAAAGAGACAGTTGTTTTAAACATGAAGCGTTACACTTCACGCTGTGGAAACTCATCTTACCATTGATTCTAGTAAAAAGGCTATGCAGGGTTAAAAATGAAATAAAATCAGAAGCCTGTGAACCCTTTTGACCAAAAATGACAGTGAGACAAAAGAAGTGTTGTATACATGGTGGAAAGCAATTAGAGGTGAATGGGAATGAGGGAATTCATTCTGGAAAAAAATGTATTTGTGTAGGGTTGCCATATTTCAAGAAGTGAAAATCCGGACACAAAAGTTGTTGAGCTTTCTTTTGGGTGGACAGACGGACGAAGTAATTTCCCCAGAAATTCACCAAAAATTCAATACTTCCAATATGGGCTGCCATACGCCCAGGGTTTCTCTGGACATTTTAACTGGTTTCCGAAAATTCTGCCTGGATGCCATTTTTGAAGGATGAATCCCGGCTATGTGTGGAAAATTCTGGACATATGGCAGCCCTATATTTGCAGCCTTGGACTTACTCCTTAATTGGGAGATCCCAACCCCCTGCCAGGGGCCATGGCATGTGGTGCCATGACGCCATCACTAAATTGAAGACCTGGAGGGCTCACAGGGTCTGCCACCAGTTTCTGGATATTTCTCCAGAAGGTGAGAATGGCTCCTATACTTGTACAACTCTAGGTGTGTATGGACTCTTTTGACCTTTTAGTCTATCTGTAGTGGTTGGAGGCTGGGGCAGAGATCAGAATCCTGCAGCCCGACATATATTGAGAGGAGCACGGCAGTAAGATTTACATTATCTATTAGCTGGAATTACATAGCTAAGGAAAAAAGGCATTAAAAAGGCACCGAAGCAGCATTATTTGGGGGTTGCAAGTCATACACACACAAAAAAAAATGAGAGGCAAGATGGCCCAGTCAGTAGAGCATGAGACCCTTAGGGTCGTGAGTTAGAGACCCATATTGGGCAGAAGATTCCTGCACGGCAAGGGGCTGGACTAGAGCTGGACTCCAACTCTATAATTCTATAACTAGTTTTGTTGCTGTTTGTGCTAACGGTAGGCAGTTTTCGCCTTGAAAATGCTGGAACGTGAAAATTCAGCACAGTTGCCGAAGCAATACTTCTTCTCCAACCCACTTTCATTTGGTTTTTTATACCATTTGCCTCTCTCCAGCGTAACTGCTAAGAATGCTGGACTTGGTGGTCCCTATTCATTTCAATGGTATTGGAACAGGAGAACTTTCCCATAAATGTGAGCTCCATCTTTCATTACTGGGGCTGCTACAGGCTAAATATGCAATTTTTCAGGTTGAAACAAAGTTGCTTCCATGAATGCTATGAAATCTAACATGGTGCACTTCTCTATGGGGAAAATTAGGCTACATTTCAGGTGCTGAGATGAACCACTGAAATTTTCTAAACACTTTGTTTTGGAAAGATTCTTCCCCAACCCAACCATAGTCCAGTTTAGTTTTGCTTCAATCAGTTGGGTAGTTATTTACTAAAGAGAAGACAACATGCTGACTGATGCAGCAGAAGTTCATTATTATTGTTTTATCTTATTTTATCTTATTTGGTGCTTTTTCACTCCCACAGGGAACACGGAAATTAACATGCAAAACAAGAATGCTAAAAACTGCTGTCCATATAGAAGCTTCATAGGTGCAAATAAACAAGAAAATAATTTAAGAAATTTTGGATGGCACCATATCAGAAACAAAGAAGAATGTTTAAGAATGGGAATCTTTTCAGCTGGCAGAACATGGCTTGATAGGTCTGACCCCTGGGAAAAATGCTCTAAAGCAGAGGCCCTGCCTAAACTGGTCTCACATTGGTAAAAGAAGGCCCATAAAACAGAGTGTTATCTTCTGATGTGTGGGGACAGGGAAATCTATATACTCCCTGAGAAACTTCAGAGCCTGGCCATTGAAGGATAATATCTATTCAGCTATTCTATTAATCGAGGGTTAAACATTCCAGAGAACCAATTTCCTATAAAATATTGCATTTAGTCAACTGGGCCATAATCTTGAGGCTAGTACTACTCAGTCTGGAGGCTAAACATGGAAGTAACAAGGATGATTCAAGAACCATGCCATAGGTCAGAGCTAGATGGAGTGGTTCATAGGCATAATCCTAAAACTTGATGGTTGCAATGGGAAGACTGTAAGCCCAATCATCTACCAATGTCAGACTGCTAGCAGTGAATTACCAGCACTCAAACCAAATTCCAGAGTCCTGAGAAAAAACAACTACAGGTAACTCACAACTTATGTGCATTTAACTTGTGTACATTCAGCTTTATGTGAATGACCAAAAATTTAAACATGTGGAAAGGGGGAGGGCAATCCCACCTGCCACTGAACCCAATGTGTTTGGATTATACATCATTTTGGCTTTGGAACATAACCTCAGAGAAAGTTGTATTGGCTGCAACACCTGGAGCCATAGCACATCCTTAATTTGGAAGGTGCAAGGGACATGCACTGGAGAATGCTGGTGGTCTATGATGAGAGATGTCATAGCTTTACCTCTCACACTGACTGGGGGCAAAAACCTACCTGTGTTACTTTACTGCTGTATCAGAGGCCCTTCAAACTTTAAGCCACCATCCCTGACCATTGGTCATGCTGGCTGGTGCTGATGGGAACTGAAATCCAGCATAGGAACAACATGGCTGGATCAGGCCAAAGGCCCATTTAGTCCAGCATCCTGCTCTCACACTGGCAAACAATGTGTCTGTGAAAAGTCTGCAAGGCAGTAATATGAACACACGCTATGTGTGGTGGCCCAATTAATGTGACTCTCCCCTCTTTAAAATAATAAAAAAAATGAAGTAGATCATGAAAATCTGGTGTCTGTATGAACACACCTTTTATGTGTGACTATTAGCTGTTTTTTCATACACCATTGGAGCACTGGCTTTCTTGCTATATATGAGTTGCACAGTGTTGTGTTTCTTTTGGAATATAAAAAGTACTTGTGATTTCTCCCAGTTTGTGATTCATGACCAAGGATCTACTCGTCCAGTAAAAATAAAAAAAATGTTCAAAGATTGAATTCTACCTGAAGTTAATGACTCAGTACTATTTATTTATAACTGTCTGGATGGATATAAATATGAATTATATAACTGTATTATATAATTGGTTGAGTTGGACTTTGTGATTTCATTCATTGGCTTGACTGCCAGGTTTTGGTTTTTACTGATTTGCACTTAATTAATTTTGTTTTGTTTCTTATCTTAATAGCTATATAATGTCCATCTTTTCTTTATATGTCAATGACCTATGGTTATAAGCAATAAATCAGAAATGGACTGAAGACTGAAGTTTGTGTACAATAGTGTGAATTTTCACATAAGTTCTTTTTCTGGTATTCTTTAACAGAACTTCCACTTCAATGGTGTTTCAGTTTTAGCAAATTAAAATTCAAGATATCTGGAATCACTTCCGCCATCCACAGATAAAAAACCCCCCCCACCAAACCACCAGTTATTAATCTCTAATGTAATCTGAAAAGGGACACTGAAAACCCAACAACAATTTAATGTTTCATATTATTCTTTCCTATTACCTTTGTAAACATTGGTTTTCCATGTTGAGTGACCATGGTGCATTGATCACAGTCCACTGTGATGGAGGAGTTGTGGTATGATTCTTTTGAGTGCTTTAGGATGTAATACAGGTCTGTCACACCTCCTTCAAAGACAGTGCTAAAATAACGAGGGATGAGGGTCCTTCCAATGGCTGTTGGGAAAATACAAATTTGCACATGAGCAAAGGGCACTAGACAGAACACTTTTAAGTCGTTTACTGCTGTTCATTTACTAGAACAATGGTAAAATCTGATCAAAACTTAATGCAGATTCCAATTAAACCAGTAAGAAATAGACTACGCTGTTCCCTGTGGAGAGTGAGACCTGCAACAACAAAAACTGGAGACCTTCACATATTGACATGTGGTCCAAAAGGATATTATGTTTTCTTGTTTTTTTTTTTAATAATATTTATTCAGAGTTTCATCAATACATACAAAATCCCCAACCCTAGCCCAAAAAAATAAAAAATAAAGATTAAAATAAAAAGAAAAAATACAAATCTCCAATCACAATATTCATTTGCTTAATTCTTGAACCTCCTCACACCTCCCCTTTTGTATTCTAGTTTAATTCGTTATTTCAGCAAATTCTTCCCAAATTTCTCAATTTTAATTTAAATAGTTAATCATGACACTCTATCTTATTTTTTTAATCAACATAGCCTTTCCCTCTTTTAATATAATCTGTTATTCAATTTACCTTACTCCATTTAACCTTATCTTATGTTAAAAAACTTAAAATTTCAAAAACACAACATATTCATGCATTTTTCCTTAAAAACATTTCTACTAAAGCCAATTTAGTTCCTTTCCGGCAAAATCCCTCAAATTTCCATAATATTGCATTAATTCCAAGGTTAACCAAAAGGATATTATGATGGAGGTCCAGAAGAGGTCCAGAAAAATTAGTAGGGTTGGCTCCGCCCATCATTTTCCCAGCACAGGTCATTCACCATGGTGACCAAATCCAGAACAGAAGCCAGGCTGGACCCCAGAATCTGCTCAGAGCTGATCAGCTTTCCCCCTAGATGAACCCCTAATTGCTGGGTTTTGGCTCTGGGTCTGCTAAAAATTGTTCCCATATCTCACCTTCCTTCCTACCTACCTAAATAAATAAATCCGTTTCAATAATAGTAAAAAGTAAAAGTAAAAAATAAAAGTAAAACCATTCCAAATGAAATAGAACAGTCTAGACTTTCACTGGGCCCCGAACTGGTATATCAGATTTTCAAATTTTCAAATATTGGCATATCTAAAAGGCAGTTGTCAGGGGCTCAGGAGCAGAGGCACAGGGGAGAGAGGAAATGGAGAGCGAAGGGGAAGAATCTGAGGGCAGCGGAGGGGAGAATGACAGTGACCCGAGAGATTCCATGAGCCTCTCCAGCGAATCAGAAGATTCCCAGAAGGGGGCGCCGATGGTCAGGGCAAGGGGGGTCCCAGGGGGGACGCACCAGAAGCAAGGGGCCAGCGGGGACTCCCAAAGCAGCAGCGGGAGATCAGGACCAGCTTCCCCACCAGAGCGTAGCGGGGGGGAAGAGTCCCATGTGTCAGGGCCAGCGTCTCCTCCAGCAGGGAGAGAAGATGAGTCAGGGCTGACCACGCCTCCATCGGAGAGTGGGGGAACGGAGGGGAGGTCAGATCCAGCTAGCCTCCCCGAAGGGGGAAGCAGTGACAGGAGCAGTGTAACGGTCAGGAGGAAGGTAACCGGCTGGGCGTGCGCGACAAGTTCGAATGTACAGGCGCGCGGGACAGCAGAAAACCCGGATTGGGAACCAGGTCCTAAAGCCCGCCGGAGGCAGGGGGAAGACTCAGGGGACTCAGCGTCAGAAGAGTCTAGGAAGGGCAAGACCCCAGCGGACAGGCGGACCCAGAGGAGGAAAGAGCAAAGGAAGAGGTGGAGCAAGGCTAGAGTCTTAAACTGGTGTCTGGGGGGAGGAGACTCAGACGGAGCTTCGGCGGTCTAGAGTTTGAGACGTAGAGCTGTGCGCCGCGGCTGTGAAAGCGAAACTGAGCTTCAATAAAGACTGTTTTATATAACAACGAACTGGCGTTGGTCCTTTGTGAGCTGGGACCTAGGGCAGCTCTGACAGCAGTCAAATGCCTAGTAACAGCAATAGCAATAGGTGAATAAATAAATATAAGCTGCAGAAGGAGGGTTTGTGGCCTTGGGTCAGAGTCAGGCATCTATGTAGGGATCCTTCCAGGTGTCCCTAAATATGTCTTATTCTTAAAATTAAGTGAGAAACATTAAGTAGTAATAGACAATCTGTAGAATTTTAGAATGGAATAGTTTTTAGAATAATTAAGATTTTACTTATTTATATTGAATATTTTGTATAAAATACTCCTTTGGTCCTTATATATCTTTGAGAGAGAATTTGCAATTGACAATGCATTTTAGCATGAAAACAAATAATGTGGCTAAATAATTTAGGTAAAATTAGAAAATTTTAGAGCTGGATTTTCTGGCCTCCATCGTCCAGTCTGTGTAGCAAAGCCGGTTTAACCATTCCACATGTTGTGACTGGTATGCATTGCCTGCCAGATAATTTTTTTCCCCAGGGCCACAAATGGGTTTATTCCATCTGTTAGAGGATCACTTTATTTAGGCAAAAAACCACCATAGTTTGATACTACCTGAATGAAGATATATTGGTGGAGGTTTTGCTATTGATTTAAATCTCCATCTCCATTCTGCTATCCCTTATTGTCCCTTGTAAAATTACTGTCCTTATTGCCATCTGTGGACACTTTTGTGATGGGTTGGGGACCTTCTGGAGCAGATGATGGTGGTGGGAGAGAGGGTGGATTTAATTTAAATCAAATCGATTTAAATCATGATTTAAATCACGATTTAAATCACTAGTCAGTAAGACTTGATTTAAATCACTAGTCAGTAAGACTTGATTTAAATCATTTTCTTACAGAAAGACTCATTCTTGCTGGTATAATCTTAATATTTACAACCAGATGAAGGTTTCATCTTTGGAATAATAAATTTTCAGAGTAGTTTTTACAGTTATATAAAAAATCACTGATTTGGTTATACTATTAGAAATACAAAGACAGGTAATTATGGAATTATTGTTTATATTTGGACAACCTTTCTGCTGTACTTTATTGGAAGGAGAAAAACAATCATTTCCCTAATAACAATTTAAACAATTTATTTAACTAAAACAGTAACATTATAGCATATGTATCCATGTTTGTTAACTAATATGGTTAAATTTTTTTTTTAAAAAAACAAAACTTAGACTGAGTTTTAGCACACACGAGAAACTTAAAACAAATCCTTATTTCCTGATGAAAAGCCTTTGGACTATAATGTAACTTAAATAGAAAACTACCTTTAGAAAAAATTTTCCTCCAAAAGCATTTTATTTTAAAAATCTGATTTAAATTTTAAAAAAAACCCCACATTTTTTTAAAATTAAATAAAAAAAACCATTGTTTTTTTATCCACCCTGGTGGATAAAAAAACCACATTTTTTTAAAATTAAATTTAAAAACCCATTTTTTTTATCCACCCTGGTGGGAGATGAGGAACCAGATGTCCTGCTGTGGAAGCAGATTTCCACTGACCAAGCAGGTGGACATAATCTAACATCATTGCATGCAGGGCTTGATGTAATATTTCATCGGACTTTACTACAGAGACCCAGGTTACTTTTAAGTCCTACCACAGGTAGAGAGAGTTTATAGATAAAATGCACTTCTGTGCATGCCCAATCAGGTGCATGTCTGATGAGACGGCAAGAGCAGCAGCCCAGGTGAGGAAGTTCCACCGTTGAGGTATTCTAACATCTGGTATTCTAACATCTGCCTCAGTGAGGATTAAGCCATGGAGGGCTGAGGAGATTCAGCAGCAGAACGGCAGCTGGAAGATGTGAGAATGGAGATGGGGGGAGGTTTGTATACACCAGTGATGGCCAAACGTAGCCCTCCATTTGTTTTGGGACTACAACTCCCATCATCCCTAGCTAACAGGACCAGTGGTCAGGGATGATGGGAATTATGGTCCCCAAACAGCTGGAGGGCCAAGTTTGGCCATCACTGGTATACACCTTTGCCCAAACCCCAGTAAACCTTCTATGGAAGGCAGGACCTGCAGGAGTCTGTGTAAGGAAGCTTCACTCAGTGAGAAATCCTGATTGTCCTTTTTTTATAGCATTTTAAATATATTGCGACGCACCTTGAGAACTTCAGTTAGTAAGAGGGGTGTAAATATTTCAAAGAAGCAAAAGCAGAAATAAATGTTTGCATACTAGGCAGGCAAACTGAAGAACTTGGATATGGTTCGTTAAGCATTGTACATTTCAAACAAGTACAGTTCCTTACAATCCTCATTAAAACTTCTGTGTGTGCCCTCTATAGGGGAAAGAAACTAGAAGTCCAGTGTACACGCATTTGTTTTTCAAAAGTGTTAAAAGATTCATACATTGCTTTTTTTGCGATATACAACAAACATGAAATTAACCCATCAAGTTAATTCCTTGCTCCCCTAAGGCTAATCAGCACAAATTAAATTTCATGCTAATCATCTTGTACAGCTAACATGTGACAGAAAACCTTGAATTTGTTTTGATAGAATTAAATACATTTGTGTGGCTTATAAAAAGAAAAAGTGTACAGTTTGTGATAGTTGATCTCAGGAGGTAAAAGAATACTGTTTCTCTTTCTCCTTACATCCATTAGAAACAATACAGCATAAGAAATAATACTATTTCTGTATTGGTGTAATTTTTTAAAATAAAAGGCCCTGAAATATTGGCACCCCATTGCTACAGAGTACATTTTGCCTGCAAAGGTATAGAAAAAGAATCAGGTGCCATTTCGCTGAATTCACCTATAACCTGTAGAGACATCATCAAATTGTCTTGCAAATCTCCCTACATATAGGATATCATTTGATATCGACTTTCATTTGCTGAGATGCGCAGGATACCAAATCAAAGAAACACCTTCTTTGTAACAACAGCATAACACAGGGTACCAGATCTCTCAAGGTGAGAGTCACTGATGAGGTAGTGGAAGAAGACAGGAACACAAGTGGAGTCTTCCCTTGATTGACCAGGTACTATCTTTTGCCGTCACTAGGATCCCTAATCTACCAAACTCCACCCCCTGATCCACCGACCATCACTCT